AAGGGAATTGCAAAAAGCCATGCACTTCTCTGGAGAGAGTAGCTTAAATTGACTTAATTTCTTTTTTCTTCTTGTTGTTGGCTCATTCTTTGGCACTCAGTGTACCCACACAGACTGGCACACAACAGGGTCCCAGAATGTGCTTAGCTTAAGGTGTGAGGCTGTGCCAGGATTTCCTAGGGTTGGAATGGACTGCATAAGTTTATCCCTGCTTCTTTGGGGCTGCAGTGCAACTGTAAACTGTATGTAGAAAATCTTTGGGTTGTCAAATGGGAGATCTTGGCTAAAATTAACATCTTTGAAGATAGACAGGAGCAGGCTTTTGATAGTGCCTTGAGACTGCACTTGCAAGTTTGCATGTCTTGATTATGGTTCTTCTGCAGCTGGCACACAGGTTGCAGACTGCACAGTTGCAGACTGCACAGTTGCAGGCTGCACAGTTGTTTCTCCACTCTCTTCATGAAGCAGCAACTTGGGCTGGTGTTGTTCCCATTATTTATCTGTGTTTGGCATGGGACCTGGGAAAGGCAGAGGAACTGTGCTGCTCCACTGCTCCCAGCAGCCCCCTGCTCCTGTGAACCTGCAGGACAGCAGTCAGTGCAGTGGCTGGCCCTGGTCCTCCCAGGGAGGCCCTTCTCACTCGTGGGGGATTAGATCCAAGAACTGGTGTGCTTTGGGAAGACTGCATCAACAGGTGTGTCACTCCCCCATGGTGCAGGGCCAGCAGGGTGTCTCTTGTGTGCTCCAGAGGGGTAAATTTCTTCATTGAAAGGATGGTCAAGGATTGGAACAGGCTGCTCAGGGAGGTGGTAGAATCACTGTCCCTTGACGTTTTTAAGAAACATGTAGATGTAGCGCTTAGAGACATGTTTTAGTGGTGGACCTGGCAGTGTTAGGTTACTGTTTGGACTTGATCTTGGAGATCTTTTCCAACCTTAGTGATTCTAGGATCCTATGAACTCGGTAGCAAAGCCCAGGCTCTGCTTGGCTGGTGGCTCCACAGTGCTGGCTCCAAGTCTCCTGTGGGGCATCCAAGTCACGGTGCTGTTGGAGTTGTTTGTGGTGAGCGTGTGGCTTTCTGCTACCTACCCTTTTTGTTCCTGCCCAGACAGTTGGGGTCATAGGATGAAGATGCAGTTCTGAAGTGACCTTCAGTATCAAACAAAAGACTTTCAGCTCTGTCACTAATGACTGGTCAGTCAGTGTATTTTGGGACTGGAGATAATAATAAATGGTGTTTTAGCGGCCCGAGATGGGAAGTAACATTTTTTTAATGTCTAGTGAGAAGACTTAGAGAGAATTAAATGAACCACAGGGAGTCTGATCCAGACACTAACATCACCATCAGTCCTGCAACCCTGGGAGCTCTTCCTTCACTAAAGGCAGAAACTGAGCTGTCAACTGTTAGGATTATGAAAGGCAAGTAGTTCATGGGGTGCTTGGACTTATGATTCTGGTTAGGCTTATCTTGTCAACAAATAGGCACATTTTAAACAGCAGGGCACTTACCTTTGACAGTGAAAAGCTCAGCAGTGGCACAGGGTTGGGAAAGAGAATATCTCACACAAGAACTTGTGGAATCTCGGATGAAAAGGCTTGGGCAAAATGAGAGGCGTGTGTCAGCACACACTGAACATCAGAGATCTCTGCACAACTGAAAAAGGGCACAAGGAGCCTCAATACCAGAAGCTGGGAGTGGGACCAAGCCTGACAAATAGGAACTCATGAGGGTAGGTGTCAGTGGCTTCTGGCTGCACAGTGAGAGGGCAGCTGAGTTCTACATCACCCCTGTAAAACCTCCTCAGCTCCCAGCTGCATCACTGTAAAGGCATTTCATCTTGTTTCATTTGGTTGTGTGATATATGGCTTCCGTGGCCTGATATTTCCCTGTAAAGGAAAGGGGTATTTCTCTAAATGCTATATGTGTATAGTAAGGAAAAATAATGTGATTTTTTTCATTTCTTACGTTGTGTTGCAGAGGTAGCATGAGTGGCCTCATCTGTCTCTCTCTGTTTGCAGCATTTATTTATCACATTGATAAAAGATAGGCTTGGCAAATCCCTGTGAAAGAGTGACTATGGTCTGCTAGTTTTTCATTCATCCTCACAGTGTAGCTAACTTTCCACGGATATTTAAAACAACGACATTTAATCTCTAGCACAGTGAAAAGGCTTATGTGTTCCTGGTTCAGAAGTGAGACATATTGGCAACGGTTCTTATTTATTTTATTTGTATGACCCAGCTTGAAAACTGAGTAGTCAAAGGAGGAGTTCTCATTTTAATGTGCTGTGGGACTGAGTTGCTTCAGTGAAAGCAGAGGCTGTTGTGAAGTTACTGATGCATAACTCCACTTTTCCACATTAGTCTGGTCTTTGGCTACAGGGATTTCATCAGCATATTTTTTTCTAAATATTAGCAAGAGATGTTAGTCTTTGAGCATTGATTGGTGGATTAGTCAAAGCCCTTAACCAATCAATAGGTAGAGGTTTGCATAATAATGGCATTATTTCTGAAGAACTGTGCCAATTGGAATTGCAAAACTTTCTGCTTCAATTTGCTTTTGAATGCCTCTGCTTTACCTGCCTCTATTGCTCACCTTTTCAAAGTACTTTAATAATGAAGATGCTTCCAAATTCCATCATCTTTCATTTTTTGTGTGGTTTTGGGGTGTGCAGGGTGGATAAGGGGGGAAGTACCAATAAAACTTACATAGTTTGCATACAGAAAATGTGAAAAATGTAAAGAAAAAAAAAAGACAGAAAGAAAATTATTTGCATTTTTGTCTCCTTGATTTTCCTGAAGCTAAAAGTGTGATCTGAAGCTCATATTCCCTTTCTTTTCTTGTCTACCTTCCCTCCAGGACTGTTTGCATGATTTTCCTTCCATTGTCAGTACTGTAGCAGTTCTGACTTCTCACTAGTATTTTTTGGTTGCTGGAGAGGAACTAGCTTTTGGACGTGTATAAATGTAAATTGATGTGAGAGGAAGGAAGATGACTGCAGGGAATGATAACTAGAAAGGGAAATGAGGTTTTTCTAGATTTGAGGTTTGTAACTTCAGTTGAATTTGCAGTAAGCTCAGTGTTCACGTGTCTGATGTTCCTCTCCTCTCTTCTGCCCCTTACTTAAGAACATGGTAATAACTGGGTACATTTTTATGGACAGCAGCTTGAAAACATGCTCACTTTGGTATTTTGTTTCTGTTTTGTAAAACAGTGAAGAATTCATCATGCACAGTAATGTGTTGTTTCATGGGGTAGTGAGTCTAGAGATGCAAAGCTAGAATGCAGTGGTCATTAGCCAGTACATCCAAGGACAAGCATCCATAGCCCTGAGATCAGAATCCACAATAAACAGTACAGCAGTATTACATGCCTTCTGATTTTGGACCTTTTGGGGTCTCCATTTGCAGGTTTTTTTGGCTCATCCAAAAGGGTTAAAATTTCCCTAGAGCCTGAGGTAAGAGAAGGTAAAAACTTTCTTCAGATTCTGATTCTGGTATTTAGCTACATTAGATTTGCTTTAGTCATTCTAGTCCCTGCAAAAACGGTGTGTTATGAATCACAGCTTGAAGCAATTTCTCTTTCCAATATTGAGGCCTTGAATGTAAAAGGCAGCGATGGAGCAGATATCTTGGTTTTGTCCTGTCTTCATACATCTTCTTGAAACAGAATGCATGATTGTGTTTGACAAGGCACATCCTCCCCGATTTTAATGGAGTGAAATTTGAAACTAGTTTAGTTAAACCAGGGCAGATGGCTGCAGGACTGTGTGTAATTTCATAACAGTGCAAGGTTGCAATGCTGCTGCAAGGTTATTTATCCGATTTTAGAACAACTCAGCAAAAAAAGGGTACTGCTGTTATCAACCCAATGTTGAACAAGTACAAATTAATTCTGCCTATTCAAATGTGTAATAAAAAGAATTAAAAACTCTGTTTCAGAGAACTTTCTCAGAGAAGGTATTGTCTAGATTACTGCACAGTGTAATGTTTGCATCTTATATTTTTGGTTATTTAACATTAGCTGAAATTATATAGTAATGCCTGAATCCCAGTCAGGCTTGTACTGGCAGGTGATCAGATATTATGTAAAGCTTGTATCAATAAAAATGGACAGAGCCATGAAATATTGCAAGGGCATAACTAAATTGATTTAATGCAATCAAGACCTGGTTGTTTGTAGACAAGGGTTTTTTTACTACTTCAATACACTTATTTTACATATGGCATCTATGTCTCTTTCATGTTTCTATGCAGTAGTCCAGCAAGCAAGGACAGGAGTTGGAGCAGTTACCAAAATGGAAAGTTTAGCCTAAACAGCTGAAATAGAACAAGAAAGCTGCTTTCAAATTTGTTTCTTCAATTATTCATGCTACAGGCTTTGTTTTATAAGATGTTTTCATTTAGTATCAGAATAAATATGTGACTTATCTCATGCAGGACCATAGGTTGAACTGCAGAACTCCCCGCTCCTGCCCCCAGCCCAGTTAGATATTATTAAGAAAGACATTTTTGATGAGGAATGAACAGGAGAAGATGCTATGAAAAGTGTTCTGTGTTTTAAACCAATCTTTTTCATAATGAACAGGCTGAATGGGAAGTGTTCAGGCTGGAAAGAACATCTGCTTAAAATATATGTTGAATTTTTATTCTCTATTTATGTTAACATTAGCACATTTGTGGAAATCACGTTTTCTTCACAATCTCTTTGCTAAATTAGGACACAAATCCAAGAACACTTGTTCATGAGAGTAATTTTCTATAAATGAGTAATGTCACTGAGTTCAATAGGAGCAATCACGCACAGAATTAAGCACATGCATGAGAGTTTGCAGAAATTTGACAAATATGTTGCCATCATGAAAAGATTACCCAGCTTTTCTTCTAATGCAGCTATGAAATCTTGGCTTGGTCCTATTTTGACTAGCCCTATTATATGAGCCATAAGCTATTCTAGTGTGTTAAGCCTAACTGAGGCTATTTCTCTTATTTTGTCACAGCAACAAGAGCAAGATCCCACAAATCTATACATCTCAAATTTACCCGTGTCCATGGATGAGCAGGAACTGGAGAATATGCTGAAACCCTTTGGACATGTCATTTCCACCAGAATATTAAGAGATGCGAATGGAGTCAGCAGAGGAGTCGGCTTTGCCAGGTGAAACCTTTGCTCTTACTTTTCATGTGCGCTTTTTCACCTTTGGTGCTTTGCAATTGCTGTCTGTTCTGTAGCTCTGAAGTCTCACAGCTATGGAAAATGCAGAGTAGCACCTTTATCAGATTATGTCCATTCTTTCCAGCAGGAAATGCCAGTGAGGAAGGATGTTCATTTCATTGCTCTAAAAACTAGTTCATTCTGTGTAGGTATATGTAAATAAAAATGGCTGGGAATTGTGAGCTATCCATTCAGGATCAAGCTCAGGTAATAAAAAATGTCCTACAGCAAAAAGCACACACTTGGTAAAGAAGCCAAGGCCTATGCTTAGGAGATCCTGGGAATGAAACTTATTGCAGCCTTTAGTACCTGAATGGGTGTTGTAAAAAATCTGGAGAGAGACTAGATAGTCTTTAAGGTCCCTTCCAACCCAAACTATTCTATGAAACTGTTTAAATATTTGACAAAGATTTTGCAACAGGAGAAAGTAAACTTAGCAGCTGGAAGAGCAAAGGGTAGGAACTGTAACTGAAGAAACGTGTCTTCCTTCAAAGCTGCAGCTTTCTTGAACTGAAGCTGTGAAAAAAGCTTTAGAAGAAATATTTGCATAGAACAAGCCCTTATGGGGTAGTCAGACATTTTAGACAGAATGGGCAACATATTATTACCATGTATTTCATTGTTAGTACAGATAGACAGGGCTCCATGTTTACTCTCAGGGAATATTTACATAGATTCTCTTCAGCTTGAAACATTCTCAAATCAAATAGTTTTCTTTTCAAAAGCCAAGAAATAGAATGCTATATATAGAAAGGTATTGAAAAAACAAATAAGAAGAGAAATTTGCAATTCTGCTGCAAATCGGTCTTCTGCTTCAAAAGAAAAAGGGGAAAAAATCCCAGATCATTGTTTCTACAGAATATTCATAACACTGTGCTTTGTAGGGGAGGCAAAATAACTTCTTCATCTTGCAAATTTCTCTGAAATCCATCATATCTTGGCACTTCTGTTACTGCCATAATACCACTGAGTGAAATCAGGTACTGTGTGATAAAAAGTTAGCTTTCAAAAAAAGTGACATTGTAGTGTTACCTCAGTCCTTGATGTGCAAGGTTGTCATGCACAAAAAATATTTAGATAATATTGTCTGAATTCAATGGGCAAAGGCAAAACATTTATGCTGAAAGATGGCACACTGTTCCTTGTGCATTCTTGCAGATAATAGCATGATTTTTTCTAGCTCACTAAATATAGATTAGTCTAAGTCATGGATAAACTCACATTTTTGAAAATTGACTTACTTTGTGAAAATGTATTTAATTATGGAACATATTTCAGGGACCCTTTAATGATCTAAATTGTAGGTTGTGTAATTCACCATGTCAATGACAGTAGATTAAAACCTCCATCAAAGTATACAGCAGATCTCCCACTGATTTGAATGAGGCTAAAGTTAATCCAGGAATTTAGAACCACAGTTAAATGCTGACTCCTGTCTTTGCAGAATTATCAGTACAATATTTAATTACATAACCAGCTGACTTTCTTTTTGTAAAGAAGTGCTATCTGGTATCTTTTTCCTGTATGTCAAAACAAACAGGTTGATAATTTGTTTAGTTTTGCTTATAGTCATGAACGCTTCATTCTAGTATACCTATTGTATGAGCACATGATGAATGGCTACCAAGGCAGTATAGATAGGGGATGGAAGCTGGATTTCCAGTCCAAATAAGATTTTAGAAGTCCAAATCAGCACCCTAGGTGACGATTCTGGCTATTCTGATCTGGGATTTTTTATCACAGTATATCTTGCCTGCCTGTGGAATGTAACATGATGCCTAGCATAGCTCTAAACAGAGCCATAGAAGCACCAGAGAAAAAGTTAAATTTGCATATTCTGAAATGATGCAGCATCCAGCAATTTTGAAATGTGATGTTTTGAAGTTATTAATTACATTTTATGATGATTAAAAGTCACTTTCTGAGTCTGCCCAATCATGGAAATAGTCAATCTCAAAATAAGTATATTCATTCAAAAAGCAATCAGAAGGCTGAAGGTAGGCAGCTATTGTCAGATTTTTCTTCTAAATGGGTATGATTAGCAGTTTTATAGTACTGTAGGTGGCTACTCAATCATTTATAATCTGGAGAACTTCAAATGTTCTTGGGTCAAAATTATCTTATGCCATCAGATATCTGGTGACATTAACAGCCTCCCTTAGAGTATGTGCGTACAAAACTAGCTCTGAGTGAAAGTCAAGCCATGAAACAATTTCCTCTCTTTTGCATCCTTCAAAAGCAACTGAACAGATTTTCCTGAATCTTTCCAGAGCATTTCACTGTGGCCTGAGCCAACTATGCCTGGGTATATTCCAGGGGAGATTTTGGGGAGGAGAGTTATGAGCAAGGGGCCAGAGAAGGGAAACTTTAGACTTTGACTGTGGCTTCATAAAAGCCAATCCATTCTATAAACTCTACACATCTGCCTCTGCTTTGCCCCTGCCCCATGCTTTTTACTTCCAGGCCATATTACCTGCCTCCAGACTCTCCTTGGGGGCTGGCATTCCACAGGGCTCATGCTGCTGTGGTGTTTTGTCAGGGGTGTTTCTGTTGACAATGGCAAGCAGAAGCTGAGACTATGCACAGCATATCCTAGAGCAGAGAGAGGAATAAGAAATAGAAGGGGACAGAAATGTTTACTAGAAGTAGGATATTGGAAAAAAAGAGGCACATCTTTGGATGTGAAGCTTTAAGTTCAGTCTTTTGTAAGATTGCCTGTTAAAAGAGGAAATGACACTGTGATGCCCTTGCATGGAATTTCATCAAAATGCTTAAATTTGTAGGTGTTTCTCTTAAATACCTGTTGCTGGGAGTTGTCTAATAATTTCAGCAGCTGATCTTTCATTTAAAAAGTGTAAGTGCATTCTTCAGAGCTTAGAACAAAATCATAGTCCTTCATCCTTAAAAAAAAAAAATCAGCAAGATGAAAGAGAACAAAACAATTCAAAACAGAAAACAAACAAACAAGCAAACAAAAAACCCAAAATGGAAAGAAATCCACAGAAACTGAATTTGAAGACTTATTTCAAGAAATAATTTTAAAGTTGTTATCTTATGAGTTTGGCAAACATTAGTAGTGTTGTTGATGGTATGAGTAAAAAGCAGATAAGAGATAGTAAGAAGGTCTTTGAGGGAGGCTGGAACTACTGGATAGGGGAAGGTATTGAGAGCATGGAGGGAAATATTTCCCTTTATCCTGAAGAATTATTGCCACTTATAAAGAGGTAACTGTATGTGCTGGAAGAACTGGATTTCCACAGGCCCAGAGAGGATGAATTCCAGATGTTAAGGTGTGGGAAGATACAGGAATGACAAAATCACAGTGGAGGCAAAGCACTAGTGGAAAATAGAGGCAAAACAGTGCTGCTGTTTTGTTATGAGGAATATTTAGAGAGAGATTTCTGAGGATCAGTGATGTTGCTACTTTGGAGACAGAAGTGTCAGCAGCAGCAGGGGATAAAGAACATTCAGGCAGTTTAGGGATGCATTTGTGAAGAGGAAAAGTGCTTTGTTCTTCCTCATTCAAGGGTATAATTGAAGGTGGTTGAAAAGGTGCTGTAATTTAGCTTGAATAAATCCCTCATCTGGGATGGTAGTACAGGCTTAGATAGTCTAAGGATCATTCCTACTTTCAGTCAGAAGAATGATCTGTCACATTCTACATTTTAGCCAGGAAATTGATTTATAATTTAATATCTCAGGTGAAACTGGAAATCCCAAACATGCTTCAAAGACTTTGTGTGATATTTGGAAAATATTCCAATGCTTATGGTGATACATTTCCATTGAAAGGCCTCCCTGAAAAAGCCTCAGAGCAACACTGCAGGGTGGTGAGGAGATGTGTGTGGAGATCTGTCTCTGAGACCCTCTGTCAACTGTTGCAACCTAGAAAATTTTGCTGAACTTTGTACATCCCTAAGAAAATTGTCAGGCATGAAGCCGCACTTTCAGGAAGAAGCAGGGACAAGCAAACTCCAGGGAAGGACAGATGGATTAGGATCCTTAGACGAATATCAATGGGACTCCATAAAATGAAAATGAATATGCAGCTCTGAAAGGTGATGAGAGAGGAAGTTGGAAAGTTGGGAGCCACCAGATAATTTGGCTGAGTGATTTGCATAATCCAAGCCTGAGGTACTGTGAGTTTAATTGAAGAACTCCTTGGTCTTGGGCAAAGGGAGCAAGGAGATATTGGTATACACCTTGGGGAAGGACTTAACTAGTAACACTGAATCAATGAAATAAAAATTGCTTTTTATAACCCCACAATAAAATACCATTCAAGTATTATTTAAGTATCTTCCCTAAGGAGATAGTAGTATTAATAATACCATACACAGGCTTGTCACACTCAGCTGAACAGCAGAACAAGCATTTTATAGGTCCTTTTAAATGATAAAGTGCAAAGAAAGAGTTAGAAACCACTAACTTTTTTATTTTGTTTGATGTCTTGTAACTTAAAACGACCTTGCAAGATTCCTCCCACAAGCGACATTTTACAACTAAGTCATAAGCTTCTGAAAACAGAAATTTATGATGGAAATGCTGACAGTCAGACAGTCAAGTATTGCATTGCTGGCAGGCACCAGTATAATACTTAACCTGAGACTGTGAAGACAGTAGCATAAATCAGCCTAGGTCTAGGTGGAAATGACTGTGTGTTCATACTATTCTGTTCCAGTCACACGAGAAAATGTGTACAACACAAATGGTCATAAAAGAATGCTATGATGCTGTTCCCAGCAAATGACCAAAGTCAAGAGATTCTCAATTAGCTGTCACTTCAGAGCAAAGGTACACATCAGGGAGATGCTTCCATCCCTTTGTGACCTAGCTAGGAGTCTGTAGTGAGGCATTTAAACACTCTGCTATTGGGAGTTTGGGCTTCATCCTCATCTTTTCCCTACCTTATTCTTCTGGAAAAGATTCTAATGGGCTGCTTT